TCAGCTTGGTCGGCAAGCATGGTCTGGAAACATGAGTAGCTTCCGTAGGGAAGGGGCTTTAGGAGTCCGAGCTGCTTACACCCCCTGGAGCATGGGGGCTCCCCTCTTGATCCTCGTTACGTCAAAGGAAGTGGTAATGTGCACCTGCCCCAAGCCACACATGCAGGCCTGTTTCTCGGGAGCTCCATGCATCTTGACTTTCTCTCCGGCTACGTCTAGACTGCATCCCTCTGTCATCAGAGTGATGCAAATCAAGCACGTTGAAATTGCTAATGAAGCCAGGATTTAAACATCCCACAACTTGTTAGCATAAAGATGCGGCCATGTTAATTCCTCAAAAAATGAGGTTTATGGGATCTGTCGAAAACGGCTTTATTTTTGACAGCTGCGCGTCTAGACTGCCGGGTTTTTTCCAAAAAACCTCAGTTTCGAAAAAAGCGGCGGCCATGTTTATGCTAATGAGGCATGGGATATTTAAATCCTGGCTTTATTAGCAATTTTGACATGCCTAATCTACATCTCTCTGTTGATAGAGAGGTGTAGTCTAGAGACACCCTCCATGTCCCGGCCTGCCGACAAGTGGGGACGAAGGGGGTACCTTCCCCAGGCCCTACCCCTTCTATCTGAGGCCCTGCCTCCTCTAGGAGCATGGAGCCACCACCCCTCCCATCTTGCCCAGGGCCTCAGCAACTGTGTCACCCCGCTGCCTAGGTCCATACTTATTATTATTTTAACCTGGGCTGTTCAAGGGAATACGGCTTCCATGAGGCCTGGGTTTTGCAAATTCCAGGCTGATATTTTTTTTTTCTGAAATTCAACAGAGGCCCACAACTCGTAAAATAAAAAGCTAGCCCCGCGGTCAGGACTGAAAGACTGTAGGAACCCCCAGACGGTGATAGGTCAGGCCTGGGCAAAATACGGCCTGCGGTCCACATCTGGCCTGCCACTCCACACGCAACTCAGAAACACGGCTGCCGGGCCCCCTTTCTGTTTGTAAACCTTGTTCCACGAGGCATAAGGGAGCAGTCGACAAAGGCTTCCCCTGTCGACCGATCCGCGTCTTGACTCGCGCGCTGTGCCGATGATCAGCTGAGCCGGCATAGTGCGGCGGCCATTTTTATTTTAATGAAGCCGGAGATATTTAAATCCCGGCTTTATTGGTAGTCTAGACATACCCAAGGTGGCTAATTGCCTTTGTAATTCTGGCCAACAGACAGCATAGGAGCTGGGCTGGAATGAGGTAAGCTCATGCCACGAAAGCAGGAAGACTTGAACATTGGAAAGGTCGTTTTTCACTTTCAAGTTCACACATTGTTGAACTTTTTTTTCCCTTGGTGTCCCTGCTCCTAAGTTGTGCAGGGCTCCGGGGAGGGAGCCACACAAGGGCTCAGGCAACAGAAATAGATAAATCCCTTTCCGGCAGCCCCGATTGTGACATTCAAAGCCAGTGACTCACTGTGCATTTGCAGAGAGCCACAGGTTCGAATAAAATCCGGTTAATTCAGTCTCAGAATAATCCTACAGCGGCTCGACGGAATGAATTACATGCTGGGAACATAGCCACCGAGACAGGTACCGTACGTTTGCAAATTTAATCTAATATATTTCAGGCTTAATATCGAGGGTGAATTTAAGAGCAGGGATAAGTAATATAATCTGAATTATTTTATGTTTTTACTATCAAATTTCTCCTCTACTGCTAGCCAGGAAATAAAATTTAAAAAAATCTCCTGCAGAAAATTAAACATTTTCATCCCCCAATCCAATTTTGTTTTAGGGTAGGATGACCCAAAATGATCAATTTCAAGGTGTCGTATTTAAGGAAGGTTGCTTCCCAAGTAATGAGGTTTACAGGAGAACACCACAGAGTTTTTGAGAAGAGCAGATACCTAAAAAAGAAAGTTCTTTAAACAACTAATTTCCATTCAAAACCAACCCAAAACTTCCAACCTGTTTTCAACAATAGACAAAGGTGCGGGCAATTCACCCTGTCTAAAAATGAGTGTCTCGTTAATCCTATGATCTCTTTGCTTATCTAGATTTCAGAGGAAAATACCACAGACCAACCAGCAACGGTGATTTCACAGAAAAGGTTTCACACGTATCTTGTTACAAGTTTACCCCTTTTTATTCCAGTCTGAATTTCTGTAGCTGTCTCTCAGGGCCTAAGCAGTTGTGTGTGAATGTTCCCACGGCCCAAGCCATCTGGCTTGCCCTATAGGGGTGCATCTATGCTGCACCCTAAACTCTCAATATGATATGCAATTTCACTTTGCAAATTGAATATCTTATTTCGATTTTATTTCAAAATAGCTTATTTGCAATTTGGCACACCTACATGGCACCAAATTTTGAAATAAAGAGTTATTTCGAGCCATCCCTTATCCCTTGTGCAATGACAATGTGTTTTCAGTTGAGAACCACTGTTAACTGTTGCTTCAGTAGCGGAAATATATTGAGCGCCTTGTGTGTAACACTGTGTAGCATGTTTTTGAATCCTTCTTTGATTCTGACGGCTTCTGTCTGAATCCGCCCCAATTTACCAGCATCCTTCTTGCACTGCGGATCCCAGAACGGGACACAGCATTCTAGCTGTGGTAGCACCCGTGTCCCATGCTAGAACTTCTCTATTCTGCTTGAGATCCTCTTCTTCTTGCTTCCTGTTAGCTCTGCCGGCCACCGTGGGAGCTCATGTTCAGATAAGCTACAATCACTCAAGAGATCTAGGAGTCATTGTGGAGAGGTCTCTGAAAACATCCACTCAGTGTGCAGCGGCAGTCAAAAAAAGCAAACAGAATGTTAAGAATCATTAAAAAAGGAATCGAGAATAAGACAGAGAATATCTTACTGCCTCTATATAAATCCATGGGACGCCCATATCTTGAATCCTGCATAGAAATGTGGTCACCTCATCTCCAAAAAGATCTATTGGCATTGAAAAAGGTTCAGAAAAGGCCAGCAATAATGCTGAGGGGTTTGGAACGAGTCCCATATGAAACGAGATTAAAAAGAGTTGGACTTTTCAGCTGAGAAAAGAGGAGACTAAGAGGGACAGGAGAGAGGTCTATAAAATCACAACTGGAATGGAAAAAGTGAATAAGTTATTTACTTATTCCCACAAGGTAAGAATGAAGGGTCAGCGAATGAAATGAATAGGCAGCAGATTTAAAACAAACAAAAGGAAATTTTTCTTCACTCGGTGTATAGTGAGGGGGAAATCTCGCTCCCCTGGGGTACAGAGCCCCCAGAAGGGTCCGAGGCTGGAGGTCAAATCAAATCAGTGAAGCAGGAGAGAAATCTAGAAGGAAAAACTTTATTATGCATGCATGCAGGCTGGCAGCCGTAGTAGTCAGCCCTGAGTTACAGGGTTTTGGATCCTTTATACAGAATGCTTAGACAGTTCAGTTGTGGATTGTTATTCTTTAACATATCAAAGTCTCAGCAGAAGTACTCTGAGACTTCTGTTCCCCCCAGGGCTATGTCTAGACTGCAGGCTTCTTTCGAAAGAGGCTCTTTCGAAAGATCGCGTCTAGACTGCAGGCGGATCTTTCGAAAGAGCAATCCGCTTTTTCGAAAGAGAGCACCCAGCGAGTCTGGATGCTCTCTTTCCTGGGGTACAGAGCCCCCAGAAGGGTCCAAGGCTGGAGGTCAAAGCAGTGAGGCAGGAGAGAAACCTAGAAGGAAAACTTTATTATGCATGCATGCAGGCTGACAGCTACCAGAGTGAGAGCAGCCAGCATTGAGAGACAGTTTCAGGGATTCTTTATACAGTATGTTCAGACAGTAGTTGTTGATTGTTTTTCTTTAACATATCAAAGTCTCAGCAGAAGTACTCTGAGATGTTTCTGTTCACACCAGGAGTGCTAGAAGTAAGTTTTACAGAACAAAGGCACATGAGAGAGTTTACATGACAAATTGTGACAGACTAGGAGTCTTCATGAACTTGAGATAGGCATTGTAAGGGTCTTGATTAGAGTTAATTTGATTTCACTGTCATACAAGGAGAGAGGCCTGGAAAACTTTTAACCCTTACAGCAGTTTTCTTTTAGAAAGTTATTTTTTCTGCACAGTCCCCCCTTAGACACAATTGGAGTTATTTGATTTTTCTCCCACAAGAGTTGAGAGAAGAGTCACAAGAATCAGTCAAAGGTCCTAAAACCTGCCCTATTCTAATTATAACATCATAGAATCCTAGGGCTGGAAGAGACCTCAGGAGGTCATCGAGTCCAACCCCCTGCCCAAAGCAGGACCAACCTCAACTAAACCATCCTAGCCAGAGCTTTGTCAAGCCAGGTCTTAAAAACCTCTTGAAGATTTCCTTTTCTGTTCCCTCCCTCCGGGGCATCTGGCATTGGCCACTGTTGGAAGACAGGACCCTGGGCTGGATGGATCGTTGGTCTGACCCAGTCTGGCCGCTCTTATGAGCATTCATCACAACCCCCGTGTCTTTTGAGAGACCCAGGTTGGACTCCCCTGATCTGGAGGTCTGACCTCTGTTCTTAGATCCCAAAGTGGAGCTGGAGTGGAAACGGGACTGGGGGGCCGTAGGTCAGTGAGTAGCCAGGTAGCATGCGTTCTGAGGTATTAAGGAGGACCCATTCCAGATGCTCTACCCGTAGGACAACTGGGTGAGCTGGTTACATTTTCCTGGGATGCTGGCTGTGTCAGCGTTTGAGAATTTCAGTTTCACACCCAGATGAGGAGCCAGCTTTTTATAGCGATGAGGAGCCATCTTGGCTCAAACTGGTGGATTGGGGTTGTCCTGCATTCTGCATTTTATCAAGCCCTGTCGTGGGGCAGGTGGGACAGCAACCCCCTAAACCTTAAGAGAGCTGCTCATGTGCGGTCAGGAGCGCCGACCGCCCCTAGTCTCTGGAAGTGACAATTGCTGTTGTGTTGTGGGATGTTCCTGAGCGAATCGGGCCCCTTTCCTCTGGTCCCTCTAATCCATTCGCCTTCTCTTTCACTCCGCAGGCAGCTGGAATGTGCTGAGGAAGACAATGTCCAACGGAAGCATCGTGACCGAGTTCCTTCTCTTGGGGTTCTCCGATGTTCGGGAGCTGCAGATTGTGCACTTTGTGGTGTTTCTGGTGCTTTACCTAGTTGCTCTGTTGGGGAATCTTCTCATCATCTCAGCCATCGCCATTGACCACCATCTCCACACCCCCATGTACTTCTTCCTGGTGAACCTGTCCCTTCTAGACCTCGGCTCCATCTCCGTCACCATCCCCAAATCCATGGCCAACTCCCTCCTGGATGTCAGATGCATCTCTTATTCCGGATGTGTCGCCCAAGTCTTTCTCTTCGTCTTCTTCGTCTCGGGGGATGTTGCCTTGCTCACCATCATGGCTTACGACCGGTATGTGGCCATCTGCCGACCGCTGCACTACAAGCGTGTGATGAACCGGGGAGCTTGTGTCCACATGGCTGCCGGCGCGGGGGCAAGCGGTCTTCTCTATTCTGCCCTGCACACCGGGAACACGTTTGCCGTCTCCTTCTGTGGGAGCCACGCGGTGGCCCAGTTCTTCTGTGAAATCCCCCAGCTGCTCAAGCTGGCTTGCACCGATTCCGACGTCAGTGAAAATGGGGTTATTGTCTTTAGTGCCTGCTTAGTCTTTAGCTGCTTTGTTTTTATAATTATATCCTATGTTCTGATCTTCAGAGCTGTGCTGAGAATCCCCTCGCAGCAGGGCCGGCGCAAAGCCTTCTCCACCTGCCTCCCCCACCTCACTGTGGTCTCCTTGTTTGTTTCCACCGTGTTCTTTACCTACCTAAAACCCAGCTCTGGATCCACATCTATCCCAGATCTTGCCGCAGCTGTCCTCTATTCTGTACTGCCGCCCATGCTGAATCCGGTTATCTACAGCATGAGGAACAAGGAGATCCAAGTTGCCCTGCGGAAACTCACAAGGTCGAGGTTACTGACCAAGAATTGAAATGTCTGTCTTCCTCCCTTGGCTGGGATTTCATCCAATGTTTCTTGGGAGAGAGAAACAACTGGTCTGTGATTTTATCCAGAGTTTCCTGAGAGAGATAAGCAGCCAGTCTTGTAATTGTCTGTGCGAGGACAATGAGTGGGCTCTTGTTTGAGCAATAGACGAAATCCAGACTGTGTCCAGTCAAGACAATGGACTTTCTTTAGGGCTAGGTTGATGAAAGTAAGAATGGAAAAGCTGTCTCCTTATACACATGTATCCAACTGAGGGATCTATACTGCCACTATCACCGTGCATGTCAAATTATTAGCTACACAAGAATTCCTAGTGTACATGATGAATTGTCTGCCCCTCCTCCTACTTTAAGGTAAACATTTTATATGGGGTATGAATGATCGGGCTGATTCGCATGGCCGTCTTTTCTCGTATTTATGTTCAGTTCATTTGTTGGTTGGATCTGCCTCCTTTTTCTATATCTGGATTGGTTTTTGGAAGGTGGGGGATATGGGCGGGTCTATACCCCAGAGTTATTTCAAAATAACGAGGCGAGCGTCCACACAGCAAGCGCGTTATTCCGAAAATATTTCGAAATAACGGACTTCCCATTCCAAAAGAGTAAACCCTAATTTCACAAGGAATAACACTTATTTTGAAATAAATGCATAGAGTCGACATACTGTCTAGGATTAGATAACTGTGCCATTTTCGGAGGGGAGGGGGCATGAATCTTGGGTGTCAATTTCATCACCTCTTGGATGATTTTATTTTCTTAGAGAACCAAAATTTCCATAATGACAAAGGGTGGAAAAGAGTTACTGTGAGTTTGACAATGACTGAGTTCCAATTCTGTTGATAATTCTGATGAAATTGGGAATTGCCTAGAATAATAATAATGCAATAGGCCATCTAGAGCCTTCAGTGGCAACAAATGGAAAAGAAATCTGGAATTTGTGAAGGCTGTCTGGATGAATGCATGATTTAAAAAAAAAATTGGTGTCTTAAATTTCTTTTCATCGCCCCGATTATGCTAAGCAGCTATATTTGTATTCCAGCCGGGTTCCAGTTTTCACCCAGTGTTTGGCTGGTCTATTGCTTCCCTGGCTGATCATGTCTTTAAATTGTGCGGCATAATAGTAATCATCAGCCAAATTAGGGAAAAGAATCCACCACACTTAGTCACACTTGAGAACTGTCTATTATGTTTCCAGCTGAATTTTAATAGCATTTCCTGCATTCTGTTTCTCATCACGCCGGGCCTCCCTACAGCAACTCGCCTCCACAAAAGTACCACCTTATGGGAAGCAGTCTTCATTTCCAACGTGAGTTCATTTTCATTTAATTCCTCCAGCTCTTTTTAAATTCCTACATACTTGAAAGCGTCCTTTGCCCGTTTCAATGCACGTCGCTTACAAGATTTTCTTTGCATCAGAGTGTCATGCTGATGTCATACTTTGACTGGGAGGATCCTGGGTGCTGCAGTCTAGCCCTGGAGACTACAACTCCCATGAGCCCTTGGGAAAAGGGAGGGAAACTGTTGCTCTCTCCCAGGCAGTGCAGGGTGGGAGCTGGAGGCTCCATTTTGGAGAGAGGAGCCAGTCGGCCCGGGTGGAGCCAGGGGCTGCGGCTGGGAGCCGGAGCCTGTTGCGGCTCGGATCTCGCCGGGAGAGGCCTGGGCGGTGCCTGGGGCTGGGCCGAGCCTGCGGAGAAGGTGTGGTGAGTACCTGGGGCTTTTTGGGGATGTGCCACCTGGGACGGAGCCCAGAAGCCAGACGGCCTCAGGGGCTGACGAGCGGCCAAGTGAGCTGCCCAGGGAAGCAGAGCTGCTGGTGTTTGGGGGGGCCTGCCCCAGTGGCAGAGGGATTGGGCAGTTGTTGCTTTGCCTGGATGGACACACAAACACACACCTAGACAAACATGCACACAAACTTGCACGCACATGCACAAACACACACACACACACACAAACTTGAATGCACATGCACAAACACACACATGCACAAACACACACACAAACTTGAACGCACATGCGCGCGCGCGCACACACACACACAAACTTGCACGCACATGCACAAACACTCACATGCACGCGCACACACACACAAACACACATACACAATCGTGTACACAAATGTGAACACAAACATGCACGCACATGGACCAAACACATGCACGCACAAGCATGCATGCACATGCACACACACACATGTGCTGGGACTCTGGGGTAAACGGGGGCCAGAGAGAGAAGTTTCCTTTAGTTCTGGGTGCTTGGTGAACGGGTTTTATTCACTTTCGATCTGTTCCACCCTGTTTCATGAAGTGGGTAAGTCAAGGCAGGTGGATTCTACTTGACTCAGTTCGATGAAGGTTGTTTTGGAGTCAGATCCGGATTATGACGGGAAGAAGGTTTTTCCCGGAGGCGCCCAAGGCACAGCTGTCAGTGTGCGCAGGGCCAGCCCGGTGGAAGCCCCGCCATTGTGTATTCCTTTAGAACAGGGGTGGGGAACCTTAGGGCTGAATGTGGCCCCTGGCTTGTCTGGATGTGGCCCTTAATGCTCAAAGCCTCTCCCTCCCCCCACAGCATTGGGGCTGGAGCCCACAAAATCTACTAGCCTGGGACCCCTCGGCTCCAGTGTGGGAGGGGAATGTGGGGAGCGGCTTTCTCCTGGTCAGTCGGGGCCATGGCAGCAAAAGGCTTTTTTGTTTGTGTGTTTGGTTGGTTTTTGCTTCTCACTTGTGTGCAGCCCCCGACTGATTTTTCTGAGAGCCAGCAGCCTCCTGACCCAAAAAAAGTTGCCCCAGCCTTGCTTTAGGAGCAAGGGTGTGAAGAGGGGGCCCCGCCTATCCTGCACCCCGCACTGGGATACTCGGGATCCCCTTTGATGTTAACCCGGGCGCAAGGGGGTGTGCGGCCTGCTCCCGAGTAGCCCCACAAGGAAAGAGGCGGTTACGTGGTGCTTTGGTTTTTCCTAATCAAAAAGTCTTGCAGGGTCAAGTCAAATTCTTTGGCGCAGTCTCTTGGGAAGGCCGTGTTCATTGCTACGTTTTCAGAGTTTATTTTCAACCCTGATAGCTCCAAAGCCATTTTTACCACAGCTTTTGGATCCAGGAGTTGGGGGGAGGGGATAGGGTCCAGAGTGACCTAGACAAGCTGGAGGGTTGGGCCAAAAGAAATCTGAGGAGATTCAACAAGGACAAGTGCAGAAAAATCTGAGGATTTGTCAACAAGGGAAGAATCCCAAGCATTGTTACAGGCTGGGGACCGACCGGCTAAGCAGCACTTCAGCAGAGAAGGCCCTGGGGGTTCCAGTGGATGAGAAGCTGGAGATGTCAGCAGGGCGCCCTTGTAGCCAAGAAGGCTAATGGCACATTGGGGTGCATTAAGAGGAGCATTGCCAGCAGATCTGGGGCAGTGATTATTCCCTTTTATTCAGCACTGGGGAGGCCACATCTGGAGTGTTGTGTCCAGTTCTGGGCCCCCCACTACAGAAGGATGTGGATGCATTGGAGAGGGGCCAGCGGAGGGCGACCAAAATGGGCTGGAGCATATGACCTACGAGGAGAGACTGAGGGATTTGGGCTTGTTCTGTCTGCAGAAAAGAAGTATGAGGGGGGATTTGAGAGCAGCCTTCAACTTCCTGAAGGGGGGTTCCAGAGAGGCTGGGCTCAGTGGGGGCAGGTGGCAGAACAAGGAGCAATGGGCTCAAGTTGCAGTGGGGGAGGTCTAGGTTGGACATTAGGAAAAACGCTTTCCCTAGGCGGGTGGGAAGCGCTGGGCTGGGTTCCCTGGGGAGGGGATGGAATCTCCATCCCTAGAGGTTTTTAAGTCTTGGCTTGACCAAGCCCTGGCTGGGGTGGTTGAGTCGGGGTTGGTCCTGCCTTGGGCAGGGGGCTGGACTCAGTGACTCCTGAGGGCTCTTCCAACTCTGTGTTTGTATGAGGGAACAGAGCAGTTTTCAGGTATCTAAAAAAGGTGTTACAAGGCAAAGGGAGACAAACTGTTCTCCTTGGCCTCTGAGGACAGGACAAGAAGCAATGGGCTTAAACTGCAGCAAGGGAAGTAGAGGTTGGACATTAGGAAAAACTTCCTGCTTGTCAGGGTGGGGAAACACTGGAATAAATTGCCCAGGGAGGTTGTGGAATCTCCATCCCCAGAGTTATGTAAGAGCAGGTTGGACACACGCCTGTCAGGGCTGGTCTAGATGGTGCTTGGTCCTGCTGTGAAGGCCGGGGGCGGGACTCGATGACTCTCGACAGCCCTTCCAGTTCTATTCTACTCTAGAGAAGAGCTGAGTGTCTGGCACTTGGCAGCCGATGGCCTTGCAATAATAAAGCGACCAAGAGGCGCCTGGAAGTCCTTTGGCTCCTCCCTGCAGTGGCTGCCCCTGATGGGTTTGCTAACTTGACTGCTTCTTCCTGAGCTGCCAATCCCCCATGGGGAGTGTGGGGCAGACAGGCAGGCCCTGCAGAGCGAAACCAAGGGGTTGGCAGGTTTCACGGCCGTGGACATGGGGACGGAGCGGGCTTGCGCATGGATGGGCCAGCGCTGGCCTACAAGCCAGTTGAGCTGCACGATGGGAGCCCAGCCCCGGCGCTGAGCTGCGGGGTGCCAGTGGTCGGACATGGCTGGCGAATTTTGTGTTGGGCCGCAGCTCCGAGCCGGCTGTGCCGGGCCGATAGGCGAGGTGCGAGTGCCTGTACCTTGGCTAAGTTACACTCAGATGCAAAGGGAGACGCAGGCACCAATGCAAGGGTGGCACTCCACTGACGTCCCCTGAGCTGTCTCCATCCCCCCCAGGGTCGGACCCCACTGACCTCCCCTGAGCTGTGTCCTTCCCCTGGCCCCGTCCCCCGCCCAGGATCAGAGTCCCCTGAGGTCCCCTGGGCTGTGTCCATTCACATCCCCTGCCCAGGATCAGCCCACCTCTGCAGCGTCACTGTCCCTATTTGCACTGGGCGGGGTGGGGGGTCTCAGCGGCTTCACTGGAGCATTTCAGATTGAC